ATGGTTCACCTCCCAGAGCAGAGATATATATTTTGGCAATTTCGCACGACCTTGTCAATTATGCTGAGGCAATGGAGCCACGTTTAGCCTCTCTTTCAGAACCGCCTCCTACAACACATATTTTAGTTCTGACTTCTCTTGATCATCTGTCTCCTTGCCTCGAGGAACTTCAGAGTGCCGAAGTTCCCTTTGCCGTGATTGTGGATGAGGCCAATTGGATTCATAATTCCTGCACAATTCTGATCCTGAAGTCAAATTTACAACAAGGTAGGATATCTCTATGAGATACACATTCTTGAGGACTATTTGTATTCACTATGCTCAATCACATGTTTTTCTTTAAAAGAACATAGGAATATGCCCTTTGAAAGTGCACTCTTACTGCTCAAACGTGAATACTCTGAGTTTAAGCTCTGGCAGCGTTCTGGCAAGGCCGTGGAGGTTTCCAATCGCTCCGTTACCAAAGTCTCAGCCAAATTTACAAATCTCAATCGATCCAAATCGACTGTAGCTCCTCTTATTAAACCCTCATGTCCTCCATTAAAACCTGTGATCATCTCTATCCCTGTTACTGCACCGACTGTTCCCTCTGCATCAGCGCCTATACCTGTGCCTACCGGAGCTCCATTTCAGCAGCCACAGGCACCTCCACTTGTTCCGATTCCCACATATTTTGCCCCAAAACCTTATGGACTGCCGACCACTGTATCTGCGACCGCACCTATCCAGGTGAAGTTTAATTTTTCTCCGAAAAGGCCACTGAATAGAATAGTAATCGAGCTTTTATAGATATGCTTTGGGTTTTCTATGCACATTACCCTCTCGTGTATTTCCGCACATGTATTTTACGAGTACTCTCTTAACTTCTTCATATGCTCTATGCTTGGGGATACCGCCGTAAATTCCGTAATGGAAACAAATTCGTTTATATATGGGGCTACTCATATCATTCAGCTATATCTCCTTCATCGACTTAAACATAATAGGGTTAATATCTCTGGTAATAATTCCTTACGACAAATATATTTTGGTACATTCAATTAGGTTATGCATAAATCATTTAGCACACTTGT